TAATGTTTAATTGAATCGATTCATTTCACACAACTAATTAAATACTTTTTTTTTTTTTTTTAAGGATTTATTCATTAAAAATTAAATGAGAATTCGCCTTTGATTCAAATTATTTTTTAAAATTCGATTTAAGAGTATTGATTTTTGATTCACATATAAATATATAAATTTTATGGTATATTTGATACCAAAGGATTTATTTATTTATTATTTTATTTTATTTTTTTTAAAGAAACTTTGAAGATCTAGATGATATGTTTTTCGAACAAAAAAAAAAAAGATGGCTTTGAACAATTAAAGTTTTTAATTTCCCACGTGGGTAATACTGCGTGCTATATTCGGTTTTATATGAATTTACTTACTCTTAGAGAATTCCCGAGACAAAACATTCTTGCTAAGCCATCTTAAATAACTGTTATAAAAGGAAATAAACTTGTTTCTGACAATTTACAAAAAAAAAAATTTTTTTTTTTATACGTATCGATATAATACGTGGTACCAAACAAATAATACTTTCAAAAAAAAATTTTTAAACTATTGAAATGACTCTTATTAAATTTATTGGCATTTTATGCTTATATTGATACAGAATTAGCGTTAGACTCAAATTTATTTTATATATAAGCCTATATCACGATAAAATCTTAACAAGCCACAAAAATAACTCCAAATACTGGTAATCAGTTTGTTAATATATGTAGTTGATAATTTAATTAATTAATAAACCGATACAAATTCATATCGATATTTGAAAAAATATTAATCATATCTCCAAATTGATCCATATACTCTTGATGCATGGAAACAGCAATATATTGATTGATAAGAGTTTATTCAATGAATAAAATTATTCTTAAACGAACGATATCCAAAAAAAAAAAAAAAAAGTATTTAATTAGTTGTGTGAAATGAATCGATTCAATTAAACATTAATAAACATCTTTGTAAACCAATTGATTATTACTTAACAATAATGTACAAACTTTATAATTTTTTATGTTGTTTTCTTCTTTTCCCCTTATTTGCACCGATAATTACACCTTCACTCATCAATCGCTCATGCTACAAACCTCGTTTCTTTGATCCATCTTCCAATACCGTTGATCAATGTCACTTTGAAGAACGTAGCAACAATTGTGGTTGCTGTGAGCTTTGTACATGTCCTGACGATTTAGATTTTTATGATGTTGATGTTAATGTGCCAGCTTACGAAGATATTAATGTTGGAAATATAAATATATGTCGTCCAGCTAAGAAACGTCCTTTCTTTAGCACCCCAACCATACCATCATGTAATGGTGCTTACTTGACCTAATTATTAAAGTTAAAAGATGTTTTTGTTGAAACTTATATACTTAATATATTATATTAAATTATTTCTTTTTGGAAATTGATTCCGTTTAACAAACTTTCTTATAAAAAAATAATTGTGTTATTTATATAATACACAAATTATTTTAGTCTATTTCAAAATCTTCAATTCTATTTTTTCTATTTTATTGAAAATAAATTATTTCTAGTTTAGAAACCTCTAAAAATAACTGTTTAATCAGAATAAAATATTGTAATTACTTAGAAATTTATATAAATTATTTATTTTCATATAAATTTTGTTTTTTATTATAATAAATACGTGTAGAATAAATCTAAACAATACCTTTATATATTTTATATATTATAAATAATTATTAATTTTATATATAGTAATATAAAATTAAAATTAATATTATAGTGGTTTGGTGATCTTAGTGTAGTGGTTAGGTTGTTAGACTGTCATATAAGAAGTCTGGGGTTCAAATCCTACTGTTGACAAATTTGAATTATTATTTAAACTTTTGTATTTTACTTATAATAAACCCTGTTCATTTTTAGAGTTGTAATCCTGTAAATCATGTTATATTAATATCAATTAGATATTGAAAGTGTAACATAATGTTTGAAGAGATGTAATATCACATGAATAAATTTTAATAGAATCTATGAGAAAGGGATCTACATAATAGAAATCTAGAGTTAAATAGAGTAGTATAGATTTTAATAGTCATACTAATTAATATTTAATCTAATAATATAGAAATTATAGATCAAGTTAGGTATTATTACAAGTGTCAGCCTTCTTGATTCAATACAAGTAACATAAGACACAGAAGAGGGGCTCTCAATGGTGTCCAAGTAGAATATTATTTCACTGTGGCAGTTCGTTACAAAGTTAATGAAAGAGCAAAGATTATACTTTATTTA